GCCCAACACAATAACACAAATTATATGAAATAAAAATGTCATTTATTATGTTTTAGTTAGATTAAGAAAATTAAATGACATATTGAAATAATTTTTGTACAGTCTTTTATCATGTTTTAGTTACATTAATAAATGACATCTTCCTCCAACCAACCATAAGTTTGTTTATTTAAGGGCAGGGAGTTCAGGCACAAATAACAATTGTTACTTTATTAAAATACAATGTATCCACATGGTACACTGGTCTTTAAAAATGCCATTCAAACAGGCTCTCTTCAGATTGACTGATCAGTTATAAGGCATCCTCGGTATCCCTAGTAATTGCCTCATTCCGTTCTACTCCACTATACCCTGGGTTAATCCATAGGGTTTTCATGACTTAGCCTTGATTGTAGCTAAAGTCAACGAACCAATCAAAGAAGAGTTTACAAAACAGCCATTTCCGCATTTGTTTTTATAAGGGTAGATAACTATATTCATGTCCATTAACTGAATGATTTATGTAAATAATGTATATATTTATAATTTATTTATATTTAATTGTATTATCAAAATCTGTAGTATGTGTTGTTGATTTTAAATATGTATAACATCTATATGTTTGACTTTTGTTATTATTGTTACTATTCGTTCTTTGTCTGAAATGTTTCATTCTGTAATGTTTATTATCATTGAACTGATACTTGTCAATTTGATTCTCAATAAAGGGGGGTTGGGATGGCCTTGTGTTTCACGCTTCAAGCTTCCGCTGGCCGGTCACCTCTGGCTTGCGGTCGTGGTTTCGATCCCTGGTGTAAGCGTATGTGGCTTGGAGACAAGGGGCACCTTCTTAACCTCGTCGGGTTACTCCGGTTTCCAGCCACATCAAAGGCCTCTGCACGTACGCTAAGATAATAAGAAAATAAAAGACAACTTGTCTGCGATATCACCCTTGGTGGAAGCAGACATTAAACTCTAAGAACAACAACATTCTCAATAGAACGCTTGAACCTATATATATATACGTCCGGTCTTCATTTGACATATTATATACTAATTGCAATTTGTTGTTAATAAATGTGCATTTAGAATTGAAATGAAATGGGGTTTAACGTCCTACTGTTCTGCTCCTAAACTGGGCTAATACGCCATACAGTGTGCTATGAGGGAAATTTTGCCCGGACAGCGGCGCTACGGCCTACTCTTATATCAAATTCCAACTGCCAAGGGATCATTCATGTACACGCCAATATGTACACGGGACCTCGGTTTTTCGTCCCATCCGAACGACTAGACGGCTGTCCTTGTCAGGCCCTCTGTCCTGCATTACTGACAAGGGGAAACCACGCCGGAAAATGTGCATTTAATATAATTTGGACTTCTCTCATTTAGGCTACTTTCTGGCTAATTCCTAACCTTGTCTCTTGAAGGGGAGTTACTTCCCTTTGTAATTAATGATATATGGGATTGGTAAATAAAAATAGCACAATCATCAAGGGCAGATAACTTGAAAACGTGTCCTCCCTATAGATTAAGCCAGGGGTTAGTGGAATAGAACGGAATAAGACCACTGGGGATACAGAGGATGTTTATAAGGATGAACCTATCCACCAGTTTTATCTGTCTTTATTTCAAAATGTTTGTGACTGAAGTGCTTTCGCTGTTGTTTTTAATCAGATTACACTATCTCTTTCCTTTCTCGTGATATGGCCAATTTTTGTAAAAGCACATATACTAAAATTGTACATTTACCCTTGTCAATCCACAGTCGCAATGCTTTACCTAGGTTTAAAGTCTGTAGTAATCCGTTCAGTTGTTTTTTAGACAATGATTGGCTTAGAGGAAGCAGAAGAAGAATAAAACACAGCAATAACAATAACATTCACGTCCAGATGGCTTGAACCCTAATCAAATATAATTAAGCATCACATATTGAATATGCACAATTATAAGTTACATTTCATGTTCACAATTTTGTATTTGAAAATCACTTCTGCTCAATTAGCAAAGCAAAAAGATTCTTTTCATATCTCAGTCTCATGCAAGATAATAATAAAACAATAAGGATATTTTGGCATTTATACAGTATGTTTAAAATGAAGAAATGTATTACAACAGATGATTAATTATTAGTGGGATATATTCAGCTTCATACATAAGTTCTATAAATAATCTGGTAGGTCAATCAGTGTTTTTTTTAACTCATTTGCACAGACTTATTTTGTCAATCCCAGCAAGTATCCAGGTTTGATATATAGTTCATATATTAGAATTATTTTGTCTTAATCAGCACTGAAAAATGTCAACTTTTAATTTCAAGAAATCATTCTTTAAATTTCAAACTTCCAATTTCTGATTTTAGTTAAGCATAGTTATTTGGTTGAAATGTCAAATCTGTTCGTTTAATAATGTTAAACTTAGAATTCAACCAAGATAATTTAATGGATCAAGAGTACAGAGCCATATTAAGGCGAGTGTTTATGAAATCAAAAACTGAAAGACTGGTTATAATTATATAACTTTATTAATAATAATATTTGGCAAAAGGGGCAGACTCAGCTATATAATGAAGTACATAATTAACTAGTTACGTAATTTCTTACGTAACAAGTTATTCTGTAATCCTCCTCCCCTCGATGCAGTGTGACATCCTGTGATTACACGTGCCGGAAGAGAAAGATATTTTTACAACTCGGTGTAACTGGAAGTGTACTGCAAGAGCCGGAAGAGGGATATACTACACGACATCATGGGCTATGTACGAATTTGCCGGATGTTTGGTGTTGGGCAACACGACATCATGGGCTATGTACGAAATAGCCGGATGTATGGTGTTTGACAACATGACATCATGGGCTATGTACGAAATAGCCAGATGTATGGTGTAAGATATGAATAATGGGATCTCCCCCGCTCGTCGTAATGGGAACAGTAGGAGATCAAGTAATTTTGGAGAACATGGTTAAATGATAATGCTGGATTATCATTTAATATGGCCCAAAACTCAGGTAGTTTAATTAGAAATAGCCGAGTGCCCCAAAATATTGGAAGAAAAAATGTAGAAACTAATAACCTTAATACATACTAAAACTATGACACTATTAAAACATACTACAACTATGATAACCTTGAGACAGATTATCTTGAGACATACTAAAACTAATATAACCTTAAGACATACTTAAACTATGATAACCTTCACTAAGACATACTAAACTATTATGGGAGAGAGAGAGAGAGAAATGGGGTTTAACGTCCACTCGACACAAACTAGGTCATTTCGGGACTAACATATGGTTTAATTTTATTTCAATAATTCGCTTGCGCGTAGGGGTCTTTAGCAGTGGGAGGAAACTGGAGGACCCGGAGAAAACCCACGAGGTTGGACAGGCGACCCTACTCCTTGTCATGTACAACCAGGGATTCAAAACCACACCAGTTGACTCAATGACAGGCTTTGTGATACATTATACATGTAGTCATCAGATGGATGGAGCAGGTAAATAAAATATGTTATGGTGAACTAATTGTGAATTTATTTGAATTAAGACAAAGGTCCACAATTGGCCATTGTTATTGTTTTGTTTTTTATACGACCACATTTCCATGTGGTCGTATATTGTCATCGCCCCCGTCCGTCCGTCCATCGTCCACAATTTCTTGTGAACACTCTACAGACTACATTTATCATCTGATTGTTTTGAAATTGATATATGATGTTTGCATTTGTGAGATGAAGAAGCCTATTCATTTTCATTAGCCCAGTTCGGAGCAGTAGGACGTTAAACCCCATTTTATTTCATTTCAGTATAGGCCTACCGTATGTTTGAATGTTTTGACAAGATTTATTTAGCCTAAATTACAATGTTTTGAGAAGGATTTGAAGCAAAATTATGACAAAATAATTAGTTTGAATATGTGTTTAGTCCTATTATAATACCATAAATCACCCAGTTTGTACACAGGAATGTATCTTTAAATAGGCATAGGTTCATGTACTATTGGATTGCTATGATAATATTAAACAAAGTCTCGGATACCGTACGTCCAATTAAATGGCATGGGTGCTAAATATTTAAGAAAAGATTTTTATTGACTCATCTTAAACAGGTAAACACAATATCAATATGCATTGCACATCGTCATAACATCACAACAATATTCATAAAATTTAGGTTACCGGTACAATAATTTACATACCTGTAATTAATTAAGAAATAGATAGATATGGTATATCAAGGTTGTGGACCCTCTATATAGAGACCACAGTTTTTATCCAATTTGGATGAAACTTTAAATATATGTTTTTATCATTAAGATCTTGGTTCCTTTTGATAATTATTAACATTAGTGTTACTTTGCTCTTATTTTTTGAAAAAATTTTCACAAGTTGATTTCCTTTATTTTGTTAATGTAGAATGGTAACGAACTGCTCTTTTCATTTTCTTTGTTTTATTTGTTTCGTTTGAATTTGATTTATCTGTTTAGTTTTTGATTGTTTAATTTTTGTTAATGAAGTTGATTCTTTTAAACTTCGTTTTTATTTTTGAACTCTACTTGGTGTAGGTGTTCATCAGGTAATACCTCGACTGAGTTCAATATTGAGATTAGCCGGTTGATTTGTTGGATATAAACCTTTGAATAATAGCGCCTAACAGGCAGCTGTGTTTAATTATGTTCTCCTGATTTTGATTGTTTCTGTGTGTTTGAAGTACATGTTTGTGATATGCGCTTAGAAACACTTCACGTGTAATGAAGCGCTATATAAATCGAACAATAATAATAATAATAATAATAATTATGGGAATAGAGCTGGACGATGTATTGAAAATTTCGAAATATCGTTGATGAAATATGCGGTGTATGTGCTTTTACGAATTATATCTGTACATCCAGATATTTGAGACGAAATATCTCATTTACAAGCTATGAGTAACAACTAAGAACTTCTGAGTCAAATATTACTATCGTCCAGCTCTATAATGGGAATATGTAATTGTTCATGTATCATGGACGAGTATCTATATACTAGCCATTGACCTGTGGGCATTTTTAAGAATTGTGCCAGGCAACCTGATGTATCTACAGTAGGAATCAGATGACCACCGACCAAGTACTGTAATTAGATGATCTTCCAGGTGTGCAGATGCTGCGCAACTGAGCCCCCCCCCCCCCCCCCCGATGCGAAAAGAATGGCCATGAAAGGCACTCGAGTCAACCCCAACGAGTGACAATACATGGCGAAAGTTAGTTAAGAAGTCTGACCTCTTAAGTGCGTTGCTATTGTAAATAAAAAGAGGGTCGAGAGGTGAAGGATTTGATTGAAGTCTTAAACGCATGTATTTACAATAACTATCATAAGGACATATATCATTATTGATTTTAAATATTTTGATTGTAACACCTTGTCTAAAGGGATCAGTTTTAGACAATTTAAGTTTTAGTAGGCAACAGTCTTCTAAAATTGTAAGATCCTGCACACACAAATGAAAATTTGGGTCAAAATTGTCTGTTATGGTAAATTCACCACAACGTAAGAATCCAAAAAAGACCACAAGGCACACTGTCTCAAAAACAATGTTATTAAACGGAGAGTAAAGGTCTTTCCTCAGACAATAACAGATGTCCCTGAGAATATGGAAAGTCACTGGATGTCTAGGTCTAGCCGTCCGTACTTGCACTCATTTAACACCTTTAAGCATTGTATATAAACTATTTAGTTGATTACTATGAAGGTAACTAATGTTATTCTCCATTGAAATAAAGTGGATGCCACATAGATAAAGTTTAATTGTGCTATAAGAAATACTTAAGCGACTGGCGCAAAACGTAGCGAAGTAAATTAATGATTGTTCGTTCACTGGCTTGACGTATGCGAAAACACATGTCATCAACAAGAAATTAATATAACTCTGGAAACCTGTCTGGTACGTCACTCTCGTGCTTGGGGCAATGGCATGTTTCCACAGGAACTTAAGAGCTGGTCTGAGTTCCATAAAATGTTGTGAATCGATGGTACTTGGCAAGGCTTCTTGTCCGCGGTAGGGTCCAACTTTCAAAATCTGTCTATCTGCAATCGAGAAAGAAAGTCAGCGATTAAATTTACGCGGCCAGGAACATGGGTGGATTTGAAAGTAAAGTTATATATGGCTGCATAATAAGTAAGAGTTCTGACTAGCTGCATGATATGGGGTGATTTTGATCGACCTTTTTGTACGATTGCGACTGTAGCCGTATTGTCACACATGAACACTAGACGTTTCCTTGACCATGATTTCCCCCAAATCACTGCAGCGACGACTATAGGGTACAGTTCACAAAATGCAATAGAAATTTCAGTGTTGTCGAATACTGATTGTTCCAGAATAGACGGCCATGATTCTGAGAACCATTTGCCTTCAAAATAGCCGCCAAAGCCGATAGTACCGGACGCGCCCGTAAATAGTTGAATATCATCGGACAGGGTGGAAGCGACGTTGTGAAACATTGACACTCCATTCCAGGTAGACAGGAATATTAACCACATTCTAATATCCTCGCGACATTCAGCATTGAGCTTTAGGTGGTAATGTAATCGGTGCACTTCTGTAGATAACTTAATTAAATGTGAAACAAATGACCTTCGTGGCAGCACCACCCTACTTGCTAAATTTAAGTGGCTGAGTAAGTGTAGGATTTCGTGTTTGGTGCATGAATGTCTAGTATGGAAATCAGATAGGAACGAAGAAATTCTGCATAATTTGTCGCTAGGAAGTCTTGATTCCATCTTAACTGAATCCAGAATTATACCCAGATATTCTATCACTGTTGCAGGCCCGAAAGTTTTATGTTTAGCCATGGGTATATTTAAGCGGTTGAAAATTAGATGTAGCAATGCCATGTTCCTCTCACCACAATTGTTTGGATGTTCGAATGTAATAAAGTCATCTAAAAGATGGAGAATATATTGGATACCGTAATTATTAGTAGCGATCCAGCATATGGCTTGTGACAAAGCATCGAATATTCTGGGACTCGAGTGGCATCCGAAAGCGAGTCTTGTATAATAGTAGTATTCCTTGCACCATCTGATACAGAAAAGATGCCACTGTGAAGGTAGTATTGGGATGAGTTTGAAAGCATCCGAAATGTCTGTTTTACACATAGTAGTATGTTTGCCTAACGTATGTATAATGCGAACTTCATCATCGATTTTTACATAGCTTAATGAACATTCCTCTTTGCTAATTAGCTCGTTGATGCTCAAATGTGGTGATGAAAGATCTACTATCAGCCGCGGCTTCCCACTGTATTTTCCTATCGACACGCCAATTGGGCTAACCCGATATTTGGAAAAGGGCAGCTTTTGAAACGGCCCTGTAGGAAACCTTTATTCACTTCAGTTTGGATTAATGTGTCCACTTGTCTTTTTGTTGTGAAGCTGACAATAAGTTCCTGCATTCCTTAGTCGGTAAATCAGTCTCTGTTACCATTGTATCGAAACCGAATCTAAAGCCATCACACAAATAGCGTACAAATTCACAATCTGGATGTTTTAAAAGTTCCTTTCCTAGTTGTGGAATATTAATGGGCGAATTAATAATATGTGCACTGTTAGTGTCATGTACCGGTAGTCAGTCTTTATTAGTTCTAGATGTCACATTATGTTTCTTCGTGTGGTCTTTCTTCCCGCATGTAGCACTAACGTGGTCGGAAGAATGACACGAACTGCAAATATGGGCGAATGGACACCGTGTACGGAAACACTTTCCTGAATTGTAGTTGTTGCAAATTTCTGTCCCGTTTGATTTAACCCTGGGACGTCCGTGGCAATCTTCTCTTGCAAAATATTTTGAGTTGTAATTCTGGATCTGGTGTTGGTATCCTCCTGTATTACTTCCCGATTGCAGCTGAGGACAGAACGGTGTGGCGTGCGTAGTGGAATTACATGTACCACATGAGTTGACACAAGAATTTCCGACAACCATACTGAGAAGTGTCATATCCTTTAGAGACCAATCAACTTTAATGTTGCTGTCTCTCAGCGCTGCTGCGGCCCTAGCAGAGAATTGCCGGTGGTATTCGAAGTATCTTGAGCCGTACACGTTGTGGATGTCGATAATGTTCACCTCATACATATCCAATTCCTCCCTGCGTTCTGGGAATTTGGTGGCCATAACTCTTTTAAATTTACCGAACGCAGTTATAAATTCGGATATGCTGAGGGTTTTCTGTAATCTCGGATCTGGATTATTGTTAAAGTTAATGGTAATGCCGTTGCCGGGAGTAATCTCTGCATCGGATTGTTGGGTGTGGGTCTCTGACTTAGGTATTAGTAGAGATACAAGATTAACATCTTTCCCTTCCCAAATTCGTTTTTTAATGTTGTCAGGAACAACGTCAATATGCGGAATGCATTCAGAAGGAACTCCGTATTTAGATTTGGGAAAATGGTACCCACCTTGCGTAAGCGTTGGTACCACTTCCACTTTGGCAGCTTGTCATTGTCGCCATTGTTGAACTTGAACTTGAAGCGGAATGCTCGTCTCTTACTCTTAGGTTTGTTGCACTGTCTACCGTCAACGCCGCGTATGCCGTACTTAACGAGTTCGTTTTTTCAGTATGGCTGACTATGTTGTTACTGACGAGAGACAGCATGGTTCGTTGGAAGTCTGCCATGCCTTGTTGTATAGATTGCATGGTGCTAGCCATCCCTTGCATTAACTCTATGGGCACCGCCATGTTGTTTCCGTTTACTGGCATATCACTGCGCGGGATGCCGTGCGCAGGTGCTCTGTCGGTAATCCGGCTGTCTTCTTCCGCGGTCTGTTGTCGATCCGAATAGTTTCTCTCTCGGCCTTCCACGGTTGCAGGTATGGCATCGCTGTTGTAGGAAACATGGTTTAACACTTCCGATCTCGGTAACGAAACCAGGATTTACACTACGACTACCGTTCGGATCTCCCGGAACTATATTTTGTCTCCCTGGTTCAGGCTCCGCAGACGTTTGGTTCTGTGGTAGTGTTTGCTGATTCCGGCCCATGTTTTCTTGGTAAATTTTCCTCATTACCGTTTTCCCCAAGTTTGTTGGCACTAAAACTCCTAACTTATTCAATTCCTCTTGTAACTTTTGAATTGTCCAGTAACCTGGATTATCGGTGTTCCATGTGGCTTGCCTAGCTCTTGTCGTCCTGCATCTTTTTAGCGGGTTTTGCTTGTCCGCCATTTACAGCCGTCCGAACTTCTAGTTTCGAGTGAATCCGGGAACAAAACACTTACACTGGTCGATAAGATGTTTAATAAACGTCGCTCTACGTATTCCCAAAGTTTAAAAACTTTGCGGATCGAAATTCCACTCTTGAGTTCGGAATTAAATGTAAAAACGGTAGTAAATGTAAAACGATAATAATGTAGACTTTAGCAGGATAAAGACTGAGAACTTATGAATTTTCACCGCGAGGGAACTAAGACAAATGCCAGGATGTGTGTATCAGCCAATCAGAAGGAAGACTGATGCCAGGATGGGTGTATCAGCCGCTCAAAGGCGAGTCTCGGTGCCGTGTATGAATATATACGTGGTAGATACTAATGAATATTAATTAGGGATTATTTAATTTTTTTTTTGTTTTGTTTTGGTGTAAATAAAATCCTGGTACTACTGAATGATGGGATCTGAGTGCCAAGGTACACTGATGCTAGTTCACTTATTAGTTAACAGCTGAATTTATTTCGTTACATTTCAGTTTCATTAGCCCATACAGTGCAGAAAAGTAGGATGTTAACCCCATGTCATTAGTCTGTGATGTATCATAGTTATATGAAGCTTCCCATAAGAAATCCTTTCTTTCGGATGCTGATGTTCACCTCCGAAATCCCAAAATAAATAGATGACACATATTGATTAATCGCACATTTATTCTTTTCAAAAGTATCAGGCAATAAAACTATTCACTAAGTTTCAACACTCTCTATCAGATAGAATCAAAGTTATCTTGTCCCAAAGCATCGACCAATGAAATTTGATTAGCTCTGCTTAGCTTCAGCTCGAAATATTAATCATTGAACTCAGTCAAGACATTCACCTAATGAACATTTACATCAAGTTTTAACATTCTACCTCAATTAAAAGCAGAGTTGTTATGTTCCAAAGTCTTGACCAATCAAATTGCTTATCACTCCTTAGTCTAAGCAGAAAATTCTCACCATGATATAATGAATCTATATTCTGAGTTTCATCGCTCTCACTTCATTATAACCAAAGTTATCATGCCCTAAAGCATCAACCAATCAGATTGCTTATCTCTGCTTACCGTAAGCAGACAATATTCATCATTGAACTCCATCAAGGCATTCAACTTGACCAATCAAATTGCTTATCACTTTTTAGTCTAAGCAGAAAATGTTCATTATCGAATTTAGTCAAGGCATTGATGTACTGAAACTATACACCAAGTTTCATCACTCTTACTTAATTAGATATAAAGTTATTGTGTCCCAAAGCATCAACCAATCAGAATGCTTATCTCTGCTTACCGTAAGCAGAAAATGCTCATCTTCGAACTCCATCAAGACATTGACCTAATTAACACCCACACCAAGTTTGAACATTCTACCTCAATTAGAAGCGACAATACTATATACCGGAAAACAACCGGAAAACAACCGGAAAACACCATGTTATACTGAATACCGGAAAACACCGGGAAAAAACTAAATACCGGAAAAACACTAAATACCGGAAAACACTAAATACCGGAAAATAACCGAAATAGGTAACCCGGAGACTGGCACCCTAAATTGGTAACTTGGAGTCTGGTCCTCTGTGTGCCTGGGGTAGGGTTAGGGTTAGTTTCCGGTTTATAGTATTGCCCTTCTCTGGGTTATCTATTTAGTGTGTTTTCCAGTATTTAGT